CAGGCAACACACTCCACCAATATTCAAACACTCAACTACTCACCATACAAAACATCCATACTTATTACTGCACCTATTACATACATAGAACACTTAACTCTGATATTAACCCTCCCCTTAAACATCTCCTTGCCAACCTCAACAGAACACATGACCATAACACAAGGCACAGATCACTCTTTGATATTCCTCGTGTCCATCTCACGCTATGCAAAAACTCAGTGCACATAAAAGGCCCTAAAATCTGGAATTCATTACCTGTAAATATAAAAGAAACACTACCTGTTTATAAATTCAAGTCTCTTCTCAAAGATCACTTACTCACTCAAAACCAAATAAATACTGAATAACTGAACCTTATAAATTGTATATCCTATATGTTACTCACAATTACAGTGGACCCCCGCATACCGTTGGCATCACATAACGATTAATCCGCATACCGCTTGCTTTAATCGCAAAAATTTTGCCTCGCATACCGCTTAAAAACCCGCTCACCGCTGTTCGTTCGAGACGCGTCCAATGTGCGCCTTAGCCAGCCTCACATGTTCCGCCGGTGGCATTGTTTACCAGCCAGCCTCCGCGGTAGCATCCAAGCTTACAATCGTAACATTTCGTATTATTAGTGTTTTGGTGATTTTATCTGGAAAATAAGTGACCATGGGCCCCAAGAAAGCTTCTAGTGCCAACCCTACAGCAATAAGGGTGAGAATTACTATAGAGATGAAGAAAAAGATCATTGATAAGTATGAAAGTGGAGTGCGTGTCTCCGAGCTGGCCAGGTTGTATAATAAATCCCAATCAACCATCGCTACTATTGGTGGTACAGCTGCTGCTGCTGCACTGTCAGCTGCTGCTGCACTGTCAGCTGCTGCTGCTGCTGTAGCATCGTCTGCTGCTGCTGTAGCATCGTCTGCTGCTGCTGCTGCTGTAGCATCGTCTGCTGCTGCTGTAGCATCGTTCTGCTGTAATTCTGCTGCGTAGCATCGTCTGCTGCTGCTGTAGCATCGTCTGCTGCTGCTGTAGCATCATCTGCTGCTGCTGTAGCATCGTCTGCTGCTGCTGTAGCATCGTCTGCTGCTGCTGTAGCACTGTCAGCTGCTGCTGCTGCTGCTGCTGTAGCATCGTCTGCTGCTGCTGCTGCTGCTGTAGCATCGTCTGCTGCTGCTGTAGCACTGTTGTTGGTGTGGCTTATTGAGAATATACCAAGAAACAATTAACCCCAGAGGATTTGCCACCAGGATAACCCAAAAAGTCAGTGTCATCGAAGACTGTCTAACTTATTTCCATTGGGGTCCTTAATCTTGTCTCCCAGGATGCAACCCACACCAGTCGACTAATACCCAGGTGAACAGGGAAAAATGCCTGGAACTAGTGCTCATATTGGTGAATTTAAAGCCAGCAAAGGTTGGTTTGAGAGATTTAAGAATCGTAGTGGCATACACAGTGTGATAAGGCCTGTTCTGGAAGAAAATGCCAAACAGGACCTACAGTACTCAGGAGGAAAAGGCACTCCCAGGACACAGTGTCTCATCAGTCATTGCTGCATCTTCAATAAAGGTAAGTGTCATTTATTCTTCATTTAGTAGACAGTACATGCAAAATTTTTACTGTGCATGTATACTCTACATTTTTGCATGTACCCTTTCTCTTTGTGTTGGGAAAAATGTATTTTTCACTGGTAAAAAATTTTCTTATTTTGGGTGTCTTGCACAGTTTAAATTTGATTTCCATTTTTTCTTAGGGGGAAGTTCATTCGCATCCCCGATTATTTCGCATACCAAAGACCCCCTCTTGCCATTAAAATGGGTTTATGGGGGGTCCATGTATTCACAAAAAATTTTAAAAACCTAGGCCCCCAATTAACTTTGTTTTTTTTAAAAAAAACTCCCTAACAAATACTCCATTTCCCCTAAAAAAAAGGGTAAAAAAACAATGAAAGAAAACCAAAATTTTTACCTGCTTTGTAATACTCATTTGTGTTTTTTATATTTTATCTTTTTTTCAAAAAATGTTTTATCACTAAATCTCATCTTTGCTTAGTTAATTTTAAATTTAAATTTTTAAAGGGCCAGTCCGTAATGCAAAGCATAAAAGGGGTTTTTGGGCATCCCTGCTCTTACCTGTATTTTTTTGTACCACCCTGTATGTATGCAAAAAATTCTAAAAAAAATAAATAAAAAAAATCTGTGGTTTACTGTAGCCTGAAAAAAAAGCTATAATTTAGTTTAATAATGACAACAAAGCACAAAAATTTGTGTGGTGACAGTTTTTCAAATCTAAGAGAACTGTGAAATGTTCCCTTCAGTGATAAAATGATAATTCCCCCCCCCTTATTTTACTAATTTTTTCAATTATTTCTTTGTTACAAAATGCAAAATCTAAACCCGACCTCTCCAGAGATTATTAGAAAAGGGCAACTTCTTTATCCTCCTTGCATTTTAAACTGGTTTTTGGTTTTTTTAAAAAGTTTTTTCAGAAATATTCAAATCCAGTTATTTTTTAAAATTAAAACCTATTTCAATAAACCCTTGGGATTTCAACTGGATGAATATAAACCCGCTGAACAAAAAATTTGGGGATGCCTAATATCAAAGGTGTCGGGTGGTAAACCCAAATTTAAAAATAAAAACATTTGGTAAATTAAAAGACTTCTGTAAATCTTCTCTTTGGGGTATAAATTTTGGTTTTTTTCATACCCAAAGTTTTATTTACATATCATTGATATGTGAGGCACAAATATAACTTAAGTCTTTAGGATTGTCTATACCTTCCTATAATGAGATGTACTCAGTAAATAAATTTAAATTTTAAAACATGTGGCTTTGGGTTAGATTTTTTTTATTTGCCACCGAAGTGGGTAGTTATTGTGCACCTCAAATCCAAACCTGTGGGGTGGGAGCACAAGGGGTATTGGGTTAAAACAAAGGCCCAGGAACTAGGCCTCCCAAAAGGGGGAACAGGGGTACTCTTGATTTATCTACATTCACTTATCTGTTAGGAAAACAAATTTAGGAAAAAAACTTAGTATATCTGGTATCTTATATTCATTAATAAGATATCTTGACATGTCACATAGGTTATTATACTATCTCTATATTCCTCAATAAGTGGACAATTAAGTACATAGTGTTCAAAATAGTGGCCATATGGTTGGCCACATAATTTGCATTTGGTTTGATCATCATCTGTGTGCTTGTCAAACTACCAGAAGTACTTGTAACCAAGGCTAAGCCTGGCCACTACAACATCAGTCAGTCTGTGTGTCTGCCAAACTGTCAGAAATACTTGTAACCAAGCCTAAGCCAGGCTACTACAACATCAGTCAGTACTTGTAACCAAGCCCAAGCCTGGCCACTACAACATCAGTCAGTACTTGTAACCAAGCCAAAGCCTGGCCACTACAACATAAGTCAGTACTTGTATCCAAGCCTAAGCCTGGCCACTACAACATCAGTCAGTACTTGTAACCAAGCCTAAGCCTGGCCACTACAACATCAGTCAGTACTTGTAACCAAGCCTAAGCCTGGCCACTACAACATCAGTCAGTACTTGTAACCAAGCCTAAGCCTGGCCACTACAACATCAGTCAGTACTTGTAACCAAGCCTAAGCCTGGCCACAACATCAGTCAGTACTTGTAACCAAGCCTAAGCCTGGCCACTACAACATCAGTCAGTACTTGTAACCAAGCCTAAGCCTGGCCACTACAACATCAGTCAGTACTTGTAACCAAGCCTAAGCCTGGCCACTACAACATCAGTCAGTACTTGTAACCAAGCCTAAGCCTGGACACTACAACATCAGTCAGTACTTGTAACCAAGCCTAAGCCTGGCCACAACATCAGTCAGTGTTCACATTGCAAATTGCTTCATAAACATACTTATCAACCTTCATGTTATCATAGTGGGTTATAGATCTACTCAGGCTTGTAATTGCATTCCAATTTCATTATTTACTTCTCTCCTAATATTATTCCTAATGCTAGACACAGATACACCAAAGTTATATTCTTCGTTATCATTCTGCGTACTCTTCTTGGCTAACATATCAACTTTATCATGAAGGAATCCATAACAACTGTACATTAATGTATGTGCTTAATAATGCTCATTATGTCTCTGTAAGACTAGACTCAACTTAGACTTAAACAGGAACAATAAGTGGAGAATTATCACTTTTTCAATGATGGGAAGCACTTCACAGCTTCTCTTAGACTTTGAACAACTGTCACCATCACTACTTTTGTGCTTTGTGGCCATCATTAAGTAAAAATAAGGCTTATTTTCAGGCCACGGTAAACCATGGATAACTGAATCTGAGAATACGGGGGTCCTACTGTATTAATTTTACAATTCGGGAGTAGCAGAGTCTCCATTACTGTTCCATTCCCACATTAGTCCGTCAAATGCTTGGCTGTTCCGCTATGCTCTCCAGGGTGGTGATCAACCTCTATTAATGCCTAATCTATCCATGGTGAGGATGCATCTGCTAATGTCAACATTTCCTCTCCTGAAAAAGATCAAGGCTGGTCTAAGGCTGGGCTGGAAGAGTAGGAACAGTCTTGAAGACCTTAGAAGGCTTATCAAAGGTGCCTTCCTTCAGGACAGATCTGGCTTTGTTCTAAAAGAGGGAGATTTGGACTCATGATATTGTGAGATAACGACTGCTGATGAAATCGTGAGATAACAAATAACAAAAAAAGGCACAATACCGTGACTGGAACAACCCCTGGCCCATTTGTTGGCGAAGTGGCCTGTGAGGTTCAATACTGATTTGCCATGGTTCAAACCCTACCAGTTCCATGATTTCTGTTCAGACGAACAGGGATAAGCAACAATATTTTCTTCCTAGTTATTCTGTTGGTACTTTTTTAGGCTAAACTTAGATATATAGATCTGTTTAACCTTTTGTCAAAGTCCTTCTATTTCTAAAGTCTAACTTGTGCTAACTTTGGATGGTAGTACCTCCCTGGAAGGTAGTACCTCCCTGGAAGATAGTACCTCCATACCAATGTCCTACAAATCATAGTAACCACAATAATAATATTACAGGTTCCATACATCAATGGATCGCCGCAAAACACCTTCGTTCCAGGCTGCATCGAGCTAGCGGAACAGCGGAAGATCTTCATAGGGGGCGACGACTTCAAGTCCGGCCAGACAAAGTTGAAGTCTGTCCTGGTGGACTTCCTAGTAAGCGCCGGAATCAAACCCAAGTCAATTGTCAGCTACAATCACCTGGGCAACAATGATGGCAAGAACCTCAGCGCCCCACAGACTTTCAGGTCCAAGGAGGTGCGGTACAGGTCCCTCTGAATTGTTTTGTTGATGCCAGGAGTCATTGATGTAGATCTGTGGATAATGCCAGGTTCACTAATGTAGATGTGTGGCTGATGCTAGATGTCACTGAAACAGGTCTGCATTATTGATGCCAGGGTTCAGTGTCTCGCAGATTTTTAGGTCCAAAGAGGTGCGGTACTGGTACCTGTGAATTGTTTTATTGATGCCAGGGATCTCTGACATAGATCTGTGGTTGATGCTGGGTGTCGCTGACGTAGATCTGTGGTCGATGCCGAGTGTCGCTGACGTAGATCTGTGGTTAATGCTGGGGTTCATGACATAGTTTTGCATTATTGATGCCAGGGTTCAGTGATATAGGTGTGTGTTGCAGACCAGGTCCAAGGAGGTGTAAACTGGTCTCTGTGAATTGTTTTATTAATGCCAGGGGTCATTGACATAGATTTGTGGTTGATGCCAGGCATTGATGATGTAGATCTGCTTTATTGACATCAGGGTTCAGTGATGTAGGTCTGGGCTCCAGATTTTCAGGTTCCTATGAATTGTGTTATTGATGCCAGGGGTCATTGATGTAGATCTGTGGTTTATGCTAGGGTCTCTGACATAGGTCAGTATTATTGATGTAGACCTATGTTATTGATGCCACCATCAATAACATAGGTCTGTATGGTCAGTGTCCACAGTATAAAAAAAAATCCCACATCATGCACTGCATGATGGAAAGTACAGAACCTCTGATCTTGTGTTTGGTGTAAAACGCACAATTTGCGGTTTATTATTGTATGGTTTTTGTCTATATATTGGAACTATAAGAACTGACTATATAGTGGAACTTTATAAGAGCTACTACTAGTAGCAGTAGTAGTAGTAGTACTACTACTACTACTAAGTGAACTGTAGATATAAATCCAGATGTACTCCTGTAAAGCCTATTGAGGCTTAGTTGGTAGGCCTACTGGATATCCACTTAACCTTAAACTACCATCCACAGGATGGATATCAGGAGTACAGAAACTTAGCCACTTTGGTGGCAAAATTTAATCTACTGGTACTACTACTTACTATTACAGATTTCTAAGAGTAAGGATAGTGGTCCCTCACACAATAACAACAACAATGTACAGTAACAACACATGATCATTGTTCCCAACACCTTACATTCCTTCCCTTGTAAATTAGTACAGTATATCAATGCAGGTTGCATTCTAACACAAAGATTAGCTGATCAAACTAACTTATATATCCCTCCTGTCTGGAGGATTGTCTGCTCTTCTGGAGTGCCTGAGATATAGAGTATTGGCATTGTTCTGAAGTGGAAATTCCCTCTCATATTACTGTTGTTATTTTGTAACCTCCTGGATGGTCTTCCTCCATACTGACCTGATCTTTAAGGTTATTTCTGCTGTTATGTACAGTAAGTCCTCGATGTACAAACATGTTGAGAATCTCCTGTATTGTGTATATCATTATTGTATGAATATAGGAGATCCCCAACGTGTTTGTAAGTCGAGGACTTGACTGTATCGTGGACAGTTCCACTGACCACAAAAGTGATCTATTTTTACACTGGCCAGGAATTACTAACCCATTTCTTACAGCTTCTGGTACTGTTTGGATCACTGTTTGTTCTCCATCACTCCTCAACCTTGGCATGAGTTGATTTGTATGCCTTTTCCCATATCATATTACTACAGTAAGTCTTCAATTTACACACACATTGAGAATCTTCTGTATTGTGTATATATTCATAATACAGAAGTCTTCGACTTATAAACATGTTGTGGACCTCCTGTATTGTGTATAATAATAAACTTTCTTTCAACAAACCGGCTGTATCCCACCAAGGCAGGGTGGCCCAAAAAAGAAAAATGAAAGTTTTTCTTTTTAAATTTAGTAATTTGTACAGGAGAAGGGGTTACTAGCCCCTTGCTCCTATAATAATGATATTATACACATTAATGATATACACAATAATGATATAATAATAATATACATAATACAGAAGATTCTCAATGTTTTCATACATGGAGGATCTACTGTAATTGTTAATTCCCTAATACCTCCACAGTGTGTAGTTCTACTCATGGTTCAACAGAATTTCTGGCATACACACCACCACCATGAACTTGGACTTCAGAATTCCTATTAGACGTAATTTCTGCTGGTGTCTTACCGGTGGATCACTGAACAGTTATTCTTTGATTATACAAGAGCCTACAGAGTCTGGTATTGAGAGATCCTTTTGTAGACTTGTGTAACCCATCCTTCAGTGTCCTCGCTGCTAGACCATTTGATGTATACAATGTGTAGTTTACACGTAAAACACAAAGATAGCTACTAACATGCATGAGCATTTCAGGCACACTAGGCCTAATGCTTACAGCCTACTTAAAACTAGACATAGTTTATGAACTACCATGGGTGACAGAAACCTTGGATAGCTGTGAACACTATAGTGTCCTGGTATCCCCGGGCGATACCTTCCAAGAACTACCATGGATACCAGAAACCGTGGATAGTAGCCAACTCTATATATAAATGGTTTTTGGTTTACATACACAGCTATGATTAAATATAATTGATAAATTATGCACATTAAGTGGAGAATTTCACTGATGGGAAGCACTTCACAGCTTCTCTTAGACGTTGAACAACTGTCACCATCACTACTTTTGCTTTGTGGTCATTATTAAGTAAAATTAAGGCTTATTTTTGGGTCAGGGTAAAACCATGGATAACTGAAACTGAATCTCCAGATATCCAGATAAAGGGTTTCTATTGGACCGATAAAATATTTGCCCTTCACTAGGCCTGCATAGTGTATATGTGCTCTAGATCATGGGTTTCCCCTGTGCTTGGCCAAAATAGTACGAGAGATGGTATTGTCTGAAAATTCCTTAAAACAAATCGGACAATTCTTGGTCACTTTCACAGTATCTTGGTCAATGTTTGGCCACCAGACCCACTTCCTTGCTTCTGCTTTCATAGTATTGATACCATTAATTCTACTGACATTACCACTCAATTTCTGTACAATAATACATCATTGTGTATACAGGAGGGCCTTGCTTATGCAGCAGGTTAGGTTCCAGGCTACTGTAGGGCCCTGTTTTATACAGCAGGTTAGGTTCCAGGCTACTGTAGGGCCCTGCTTATACAGCAGGTTAGGTTCTGGGCTACTGTAGGGCCCTGCTATACAGCAGGTTAGGTTCCAGGCTACTGTAGAGCCCTGCTTATACAGCATCTGCTGTTGGAATGCCAACACACTGCAGTGATAAGCGAGTTTCACTGCAAAATAACTTTTCAGTGCCACTGCTCAGTCATCATAACTGCATTTTAAATCTGGCACACATACACACATTACCCAGAACACTGTAAGTTCTTGATTCCAGGGGATCTAGCAAGAAATTCTTCTTTTTATCCTGCTATGTAATCCCAAATGAGAAAACTGGCTTCCAAACAAGCTTAGCAAGGCTCCAAAGAAATTTTTAATGGATCAGGTCCAAATACCACTGTGATGCTGCCATGTTGCACACGCTGCTGCTGATGCTGCAGTAGATTCCTTGCCATAGTCACGACTCTACTGCAATATCCTGGGCTGCCAATATCACCACAACTTCAACTAAACATGGCCAAATAACCTTTGGCTCTGATGTGCCATGCTTGTCACCACTGGTATGGTTGTAGAAGGTAATGAAAGACAGTAACAATAACAGTGCACTTGCTTAAAGTCCCACAGATAACAAAAACACAGTACACGATCGAACACAAAATAACATGGGATTTAATTCTCTCTGCTTCCAGCACCTTACAGGCCCTGACCACTGATACTGCTACTACTACTACTGATAGTTCTTGCTATTACAGATCTCTGAGAGTAACGTAGTGGATAATGTAGTGCAGTCCACCAGGATCCTGTACCCTGACAGTGAGGGCCTTGTCTACCACTACTATTGCTACTGCTACTACTGATAGTTCTTGCTATTACAGATTTCAAAGAGTAATGTAGTGGATGATGTGGTGGAGTCCAACAAGGTGCTGTATCCTGACAGTAAGGGCCCTGACCACTGTGTGGTGATCAAGTATGTGCCCCACGTGGGAGACACCAAGCGGGCCATGGATGAGTACTCGTCTGAGATCATGATGGCTGGCACGAACACCATCGTTGTCCACAACACTTGTGAGGACTCGCTCTTGGCTGCTCCGCTCATCATTGATTTGGTCGTCCTGGCCGAGCTGTGCCAGCGGATCCATTTCCGTGTTGACAACCAGCCAGATTTCCAGGCGTTCAACTCGGCCTTGTCCATCCTGAGCTACCTGTGCAAGGCACCGGTCGTTCCAGCCGGCACTCCAGTTGTCAATTCGCTTTTCCGCCAGCGGAGTTGCATTGAGAACGTCCTCCGTGCATGCATCGGACTCCAGCCCATCAATCATATGCTGCTAGAGTACAAACACCAGTACATCACTAAGCGTGTCGATGCTGGGCAGGACGAGATGGAGATTCCAGTCGAGACCAATGGTGAAGTCAATGGATGTGTTGTTTAGCGGGGTGTTGATGACTGCTGTACGTGGTCTTGATGATGGATTTACAGATTTGTTGTTGACGATTACTGTATGTCGAATTGATGAATTTACCGATGCATCATTGATGACTGTGGCGTTGATGATGGATTTACAGATACATCATTGACGACTTCTGTACAAGGTGTTGATGATGCATTTACTGATCTGTAATTGACGACTACTGTACATGGCATTGATGACATTTACTGATCCATCATTGACGACTACATGGCATTGATGATACATATACTGATCCGTAGTTGATGACTGAGGCCTTGATGACTACTGTACATGGCATTGATGATGAATATTCCCTGTATGTATGACACACTAGTACACACAGTGTAGTAACACTGTAGTAACAAAAAAACAGTATAGTAACAGTGCAGGAATACAGTAACACAATGTAACAGTAACACAGTGTAGTAACAGTGTAATAATGTAACAGTGGAACACAATGTAATACAGTGTAGTAACACAGTATAACAATGTAACACAATATAGCACAGCATAACACACAATATAACAAGAGTATAATACAGTACAGCACATAGTATAACACACACTATAATTTATATCAAGACATTAAAGGTTTTACTGGTTTTTTAGTGTTTTATAATCCACTTTAATAAATAATAGTGTTACAAAATGATGGACTCAGATACTTTGAAATTTTTTTTTTGCTTAAGTATTTTGCAGTCACATTATGCATCATTATTAATCAAAAGCGTGTGCTAAACCCTCATGGATTCAGTAACCCCTCCCCCCCCCAAGGGTTTCAAACACATACCACCAGTATTAATCTTTATTAAGGCGACCGCCTGTAGTAAACACCTCTGACGACCTTCTTGACATAATCAGGAAGGAGCACTAAACCCATATGGGGTTGTTCCTCTGGATGAACTGATTCAAACTTCAGCCTAATGAAATGTTCATCTTGACGGCGGTGGCTGGAGCTCAGGCAACGTTCTCCTGATGAAGTATCAGAGCCCAGGTGAAAGATCCAACCCCAATTATTTCCATTTTATTAAATCAAAGGTTTGTATTCTATCTAATGACACATTTATACTAGTAATATATATATAAATATATACTACATATATATATATATATATATATATATATATATATATATACAATAAGATCACAGTAAACAGGTGATTTCAGAGTGGTTGTTTTGTGCATATATATATATATATATATATATATATATATATATATATATATATATATATATATATATATATATATATATATTTTTTTTTTTTCAACAAGTCGGCCGTCTCCCACCGAGGCAGGGTGACCCAAAAAAGAAAGAAAATCCCCAAAAAGAAAATACTTTCATCATTCAACACTTTCACCACACTTGCACATTATCACTGTTTTTGCAGAGGTGCTCAGAATACAACAGTTTAGAAGCATACACATATAAAGATACACAACATATCCCTCCAAACTGCCAATATCCCAAACTCCTCCTTTAAAGTGCAGGCAACATTGTACTTCCCATTTCCAGGACTCAAGTGCGACTATATGAAAATAACCGGTTTCCCTGAATCCCTTCACTAAATATTACCCTGCTCACACTCCAACAGATCGTCAGGTCCCAAGTACCATTCGTCTCCATTCACTCCTAACACGCTCACGCACGCTTGCTGGAAGTCCAAGCCCCTTGCCCACAAAACCTCCTTTACCCCCTCTCTCCAACCCTTCCGAGGACGACCCCTACCCCGCCTTCCTTCCCCTATAGATTTATATGCTTTCCATATCATTCTACTTTGATCCATTCTCTCTAAATGACCAAACCACCTCAACAACCCCTCTTGTGCCCTCTGGCTAATACTTTTATTAACTCCACACCTTTTCCTAATTTCCACACTCCGAATTTTCTGCATAATATTTACACCACACATTGCCCTTAAACAGGACATCTCCACTGCCTCCAACCATCTCCTCGCTGCTGCATTTACCACCCAAGCTTCACACCCATATAAGAGTGTTGGTACTACTATACTTTCATACATTCCCTTCTTTGCCTCCATAGATAACGTTTTTTGACTCCACATATACCTCAACGCACCACTCACCTTTTTCCCTCATCAATTCTATGATTAACCTCATCCTTCATAAATCCATCCGCCGACACGTCAACTCCCAAGTATCTGAAAACATTCACTTCTTCCATACTCCTCCTCCCCAATTTGATATCCAATTTTTCTTTATCTAAATCATTTGACACCCTCATCACCTTACTCTTTTCTATGTTCACTTTCAACTTTCTACCTTTACACACATTCCCAAACTCATCCACTAACCTTTGCAATTTTTCTTTAGAATCTCCCATAAGCACAGTATCATCAGCAAAAAGTAACTGTGTCAATTCCCATTTTGAATTTGATTCCCCATAATTTAATCCCACCCCTCTCCCAAACACCCTAGCATATATATATATATATATATATATATATATATATAAGAGGGACTACAAATGTATAAATTCAAGGATTATGTGGAGTAAAATAAAGACTGGATGTGAAAAGTGGGTTATAGTAAGTGTGTATGCACCTGGAGAAGAGAGAAGTGTAGAGGAGAGAGAAAGATTTTGGGAAATGTTGAGTGAATGCATGGGGAGTTTTGAATCAAGTTTGAGAGTAATGGTGGTTGGGGATTTTAATGCTAAAGTGGGTAAAAATGTTATGGAGGGAGTAGTAGGTAAATTTGGGGTGCCAGGGGTAAATGTAAATGGGGAGCCTTTAATGAGCTATGTGTTGAAAGAAATTTGGTAATAAGTAATACATATTTTATGAAAAAGAGGATAAATAAATATACAAGGTATGATGTAACACGTAATGAAAGTAGTTTGTTAGATTATGTATTGGTGGATAAAAGGTTGATGGGTAGGCTCCAGGATGTACATGTTTATAGAGGGGCAACTGATATATCGGATCATTATTTAGTTGTAGCTACAGTTAGAGTAAGAGGTAGATGGGAAAAGAGGAAGGTGGCAACAACAAGTAAGAGGGAGGTGAAAGTGTATAAACTAAGGGAGGAGGAAGTTCGGGTGAGATATAAGCGACTATTGGCAGAAAGGTGGGCTAGTGCAAAGATGAGTAGTGGGGGGGTTGAAGAGGGTTGGAATAGTTTTAAAAATGCAGTAGTAGAATGTGGGGCAGAAGTTTGTGGTTATAGGAGGGTGGGGGCAGGAGGAAAGAGGAGTGATTGGTGGAATGATGAAGTAAAGGGTGTGATAAAAGAGAAAAAGGTAGCTTATGAGAGGTTTTTACAAAGCAGAAGTGTTATAAGAAGAGCAGAGTATATGGAGAGTAACAGAAAGGTGAAGATAGTGGTGAGAGAGTGCAAAAGGAGAGCAGATGATAGAGTGGGAGAGGCACTGTCAAGAAATTTTAATGAAAATAAGAAAAAATTTTGGAGTGAGTTAAACAAGTTAAGAAAGCCTAGGGAAAGTATGGATTTGTCAGTTAAAAACAGAGTAGGGAAATTAGTAGATGGGGAAAGGGAGGTATTAGGTAGATGGCGAGAATATTTTGAGGAACTTTTAAATGTTGAGGAAGAAAGGGAGGCGGTAATTTCATGCACTAGCCAGGGAGGTATACCATCTTTTAGGAGTGAAGAAGAGCAGAATGTAAGTGTGGTGGAGGTACGTGAGGCATTACGTAGAATGAAAGGGGGTAAAGCAGCTGGAACTGATGGGATCATGACAGAAATGTTAAAAGCAGGGGGGGATATAGTGTTGGAGTGGTTGGTACTTTTGTTTAATAAATGTATGAAAGAGGGGAAGGTACCTAGGGATTGGCGGAGAGCATGTATAGCCCCTTTATATAAAGGGAAAGGGGACAAAAGAGATTGTAAAAATTATAGAGGAATAAGTTTACTGAGCATACCAGGAAAAGTATACGGTAGGGTTATAATTGAAAGAATTAGAGGTAAGACAGAATGTAGGATTGCGGATGAGCAGGGAAGCTTCAGAGTGGGTAGGGGATGTGTAGATCAAGTGTTTACATTGAAGCATATATTATTTTTTTTTTATTATCACACTGGCCGATTCCCACCAAGGCAGGGTGGCCCGAAAAAGAAAAACTTTCACCATCATTCACTCCATCACTGTCTTGCCAGAAGGGTGCTTTACACTACAGTTTTTAAACTGCAACATTAACACCCCTCCTTCAGAGTGCAGGCACTGTACTTCCCATCTCCAGGACTCAAGTCCGGCCTGCCTGTTTCCCTGAATCCCTTCATAAATGTTACTTTGCTCACACTCCAACAGCACGTCAAGTATTAAAAACCATTTGTCTCCATTCACTCCTATCAAACACGCTCACGCATGCCTGCTGGAAGTCCAAGCCCCTCGCACACAAAACCTCCTTTACCCCCTCCCTCCAACCTTTCCTAGGCCGACCCCTACCCCGCCTTCCTTCCACTACAGACTGATACACTCTTGAAGTCATTCTGTTTGCTCCATTCTCTCTACATGTCCGAACCACCTCAACAACCCTTCCTCAGCCCTGTGGACAACAGTTTTGGTAATCCCGCACCTCCTCCTAACTTCCAAACTACGAATTCTCTGCATTATATCACACCACACATTGCCCTCAGACATGACATCTCCACTGCCTCCAGCCTTCTCCTCGCTGCAACATTCATCACCCACGCTTCACACCCATATAAGAGCGTTGGTAAAACTATACTCTCATACATTCCCCTCTTTGCCTCCAAGGACAAAGTTCTTTGTCTCCACAGACTCCTAAGTGCACCACTCACTCTTTTTCCCTCATCAATTCTATGATTCACCTCATCTTTCATAGACCCATCCGCTGACACGTCCACTCCCAAATATCTGAATACGTTCACCTCCTCCATACTCTCTCCCTCCAATCTGATATTCAATCTTTCATCACCTAATCTTTTTGTTATCCTCATAACCTTACTCTTTCCTGTATTCACCTTTAATTTTCTTCTTTTGCACACCCTACCAAATTCATCCACCAATCTCTGCAACTTCTCTTCAGAATCTCCAAGAGGACAGTGTCATCAGCAAAGAGCAGCTGTGACAACTCCCACTTTGTGTGTGATTCTTTATCTTTTAACTCCACGCCTCTTGCCAAGACCCTCGCATTTACTTCTCTTACAACCCCATCTATAAATATATTAAACAACCACGGTGACATCACACATCCTTGTCTAAGGCCTACTTTTACTGGGAAAAAATTTCCCTCTTTCCTACATACTCTAACTTGAGCCTCACTATCCTCGTAAAAACTCTTCACTGCTTTCAGTAACCTACCTCCTACACCATACACTTGCAACATCTGCCACACTGCCCCCCTATCCACCCTGTCATATGCCTTTTCCAAATCCATAAATGCCACAAAGACCTCTTTAGCCTTATCTAAATACTGTTCACTTATATGTTTCACTGTAAACACCTGGTCCACACACCCCCTAAGGTAGGGAAGTTTTTATTGCATTTATGGATTTAGAAAAGGCATATGACAGAGTGGATAGAGGAGCAATGTGGCAGATGTTGCAAGTATATGGAATAGGTGGTAAGTTATTAAATGCTGTAAAGAGTTTTTATGAGGATAGTGAGGCTCAGGTTAGGGTGTGTAGAAGAGAAGGAGAATACTTCCCGGTAAAAGTAGGTCTTAGACAGGGATGTGTAATGTCACCATGGTTGTTTAATATATTTATAGATGGGGTTGTAAAAGAAGTAAATGCTAGGGTGTTCGGGAGAGGGGTGGGATTAAATTATGGGGAATCAAATTCAAAATGGGAATTAACACAGTTACTTTTTGCTGATGATACTGTGCTTATGGGAGATTCTAAAGAAAAATTGCAAAGGTTAGTGGATGAGTTTGGGAATGTGTGTAAAGGTAGAAAGTTGAAAGTGAACATAGAAAAGAGTAAGGTGATGAGGCTATCAAATGATTTAGATAAAGAAAAATTGGATATCAAATTGGGGAGGAGTATGGAAGAAGTGAATGTTTTCAGATACTTGGGAGCTGACGTGTCGGCGGATGGATTTATGAAGGATGAGGTTAATCATAGAATTGATGAGGGAAAAAAGGTGAGTGGCGCATTGAGGTATATGTGGAGTCAAAAAACGTTATCTATGGAGGCATAGAAGGGAATGTATGAAAGTATAGTAGTACCAACACTCTTATATGGGTGTGAAGCTTGGGTGGTAAATGCAGCAGCGAGGAGACGGTTGGAGGCAGTGGAGATGTCCTGTCTAAGGGCAATGTGTGGTGTAAATATTATGCAGAAAATTCGGAGTGTGGAAATTAGGAAAAGGTGTGGAGTTAATAAAAGTATTAGTCAGAGGGCAGAAGAGGGGTTGTTGAGGTGGTTTGTCCATTTAGAGAGAATGGATCAAAGTAGAATGATATGGAAAGCATATAAATCTATAGGGGAAGGAAGGCGAGGTAGGGGTCGTCCTCGAAAGGGTTGGAGAGAGGGGGTAAAGGAGGTTTTGTGGGCAAGGGGCTTGGACTTCCAGCAAGCGTGCGTGAGCGTGTTAGATAGGAGTGAATGGAGACGAATGGTACTTGGGACCTGACGATCTGTTGGAGTGTGAGCAGGGTAATATTTAGTGAAGGGATTCAGGGAAACCGGTTATGGTAATATTTAGTGAAGGGATTCAGGGAAACCGGTTATTTTCATATAGTCAGACTTGAGTCCTGGAAATGGGAAGTACAATGCCTGCACTTTAAAGGAGGGATTTGGGATATTGGCAGTTTGGAGGGATATGTTGTGTATCTTTATACGTATATGCTTCTAAACTGTTGTATTCTGAGCACCTCTGCAAAAACAGTGATAATGTGTGAGTGTGGTGAAAGTGTTGAATGATGATGAAAGCATTTTCTTTTTGGGGATTTTCTTTCTTTTTTGGGTCACCCTGCCTCGGTGGGAGACGGCCAACTTGTTGAAAAAAAAAATATATATATATATAAATATATATATAAATATATATATGTATAAATATATATGTATATTATATATATATATATATATATATATATATATATATATATATATATATATATATATATATATATATATATATATATATATAATATATCTACATTATTATATATATATATATATATATATATATATATATATATATATATATATATATATATATATATATATATATATATATATATATATATATCTACATATATATATATATATATATATATATATATATATATATATATATATATATATATATATATATATATATATATATATATATATATATATATATAATGCCTGTAATTTAACAGTAATTATAATTATCACCTAAAATTAAATGGAATAATTTTTCCTGCATCAAGGAAGAGCCAAACCCACAGGGGCCATGTGGGGAAACAAGCAGCTTCAGTTCCCCCAGGAGAATCAAGGATCCAAAAGCACCATATTCAAACCAACCACACAGGGGAGTTGAAAAATAGCTTCGGGGCGTTTCACGTTGCAACCAACAACTTCATCAGGAGCTTGTAAGGTTGCAGAAATCAGTAGACACATTCTAGCTCATTCTTGCAACACTGCAAGCCCCTGACAATGTCTGCAACATGAGAGGCCAAGAGCTACCACTCATCTTCCATTTGTGGTGGTTTTGCATAGAGGTGTGTTCCTGTGTATATTACATGTGTGTAAAGCGAAGATTTTATTGGGGAAATAGGCTGACTGGTCCCCGAAACATAGATGAGATTTTCCCACCTATAATTTGAGTGTTGTATTTAGTGGAGGGCTATCCTGGCTTTTTAACCAGGTTAGTACTCTGATATCAGGAATGACTTAAAATGCTGGGTTATCCTGGCTTACTGGGTTCTGAATTGCTGGGTTATCCTGGCTTGCTGCATTGCTAAAATGATGAACTGGGATCAGCTGGGAAAGTGACTGTGTGTACTTATATGTGGTTGCAGGGGTCAAGTCATAGCTCCTGGCCTCTTCACTGGTCGCTACTGGACCCATTCTCTCCTGTGTGTGAGTACACGTGTATAATTCAGACACTGAATATTGGTGAGAATATTCATTTTCTGATGCACTTCAATTGCACAACAGAGAGGAGCTTTGCAAGATGACTGTACAGCTTCAGTTGAGCTCTAGCTGTATTTCTGTCCAACTGCATCTGACAGCTGTAGTTCTGTTCCACGTCCGACAGCCGTAGTTCTGTTCCACTACACCTGACAGCTGTATTTTCATTCCACTACACCTGACAGCTGTAGTTCCATCGAACTATGACAGCTGTAGTTCCATCCGACTACGTCTGACAGTTGTATTTGCGACCGACTACATTTTCCTGAACTCCTTTAGACACTGAATATTACTGAGAATATTCTGAGAATGAGTCTTCATGTGATTCACAAGATTTGTCTTGTAAGGAAAGCCCTTGTGGCACCTGGAACACTGGTATGGCTTGTCCTTGCCGTGGCTTTTCGAGTGGCTTGTCAAGCCAGATTTGCGTGAAAAGCTCTTGGAGCACACTGGACAGGTGTAGGGTTTCTCTCCAGTGTGGACTTTGATGTGGTTAACCAGTGTTGCCTTGCTGGAGAAGTCTTTCAGGCATTCGGAACACCTGTAAGGGCGCTGCCCTGTGTGCAGGAGCATGTGTTGCACCAGGGAGTAGTGGTGAGGGAAGAGTTTGCAACACTCAGAACACTGGTAGGGCTTGTCGCCGGTGTGGACTCTAGTGTGTTTCACCAGGGCACACTTGACGGAAAACTCCTTGGAACACACGGAACACTGGTAGGGCTTCTCTCCCGTGTGCATCCTCATGTGTGTGATGAGGTGTCCTGTTTGTTTGAAATCCTTCAAACACATGGAACACTTATATGGTTTCTCCCCCGTATGGATCCTCCGGTGTTTGGCCAGACTGGAAATATCAGTGAAATCCTTCAAACACAGCGAGCACTTGTACGGTTTCTCCCCCGTGTGGATCCTCGTGTGGATTTTGAGGGGTTT